AAAGATTCAAATTTGATCAGAATCAGCTGAAGCTTTCTACACAACTTAAGAACATGTATATGTATCAGAAAACATTATAAAAACAAAAAAAATTATCAGGGCCATTTTTGTCAACAAAACCTGTACTGTAGTACAAGATGATATACAATACATTATATTATTATTATAAAGGTATAATATGATAATTATTGCATTCTTCATTATGTACCTATAGATTGATCAGATGAGTAAGATTGTTGAGGTCCTTGGTATTCCTCCTCCTCACGTACTGGAGCGCTCAGCGAGACGAGACAGGTTCTTTGAACGAGAGTCTGGAGGTACCTGGGTACTGAAGAGACAGAGGGACGGCCGAAAAGTAAATACGATAACTATTTTAGATGTGTATGATTTAATTTTAATTTTAAATTTAATTTTAGGATCACCACAGGCGTCCCGGCAGTCGTTCCCTATACGAAGTACTGGGAGGGGACAAGGGAGGACCAGGGGGACTGAGGAAAGGAGACTCTGGCCACACCCCCAATGACTATTATAAGTTTCGTGATTTGGTCCTCCAAATGTTGGACTACGACCCTGAGACTCGGATAAAACCTCTCGCTGCTCTTAAGCACCCGTTCTTCCGTAAAGAAGCTCGTTTATCGCAGTCTTCTGAAAATGGCAGTCAATATTCATCGACCACACCCACCCAGACCATTGGACTGACCTCCTCATCCTCCCAACCAATAGACTCCTTCGTCATATCACAGGAGATAGTTGCCATGGAAACAAATCACACCCATCCTCCCCCGGGGCTAGGAGAGCTGATACCAGGCCGACACATTCACCTTCAAAACCTCTCACCTCCAGAGACTCACGACGCTTCCTTATATGGAGGTAATAACGGCAGAGGTGTCGTTGGGTCTAGCGGTACGCTGGGCAGTGGTACTTTTAGTAACAGTGGGTCATTTGGGTCAGCTATGGACATTGGTCAGCCACAGCAACCGGTAGCCATGACAATGGAGGCTAGTTCATCTCTTCATCAGGTAACGGGTAGCCATAGACCTCACTCGGGGAGGAAGGGGGAAGGAGGAGAGAGAAAGGGAGGGCCCTCTCCTAATGCATCACTCCATAATGGAGGAGGAGTTCAAGTGTTTTATGGAACTAACTCTCTCTTCCCTCAGTCCTCTGATAGTAACTTCTCCTTTCAAATGAGCCCCTCCTCCTCTTCTAAAGGGAGAGGGGCTCATGTTCCTCATCATGTGACCGAGAGGGAGGGTGTTCGTACTAGGAGTGGAGCTGGGCCTAATAGCAGGAACCAAAAGTCTTATAGACACCATCATCATCATCATCGGAGGACACACCCCTCAGAGGGAGGGGCTAGTGGTAGTCATGACGACCAGGGGGGATCTATGGTTGGTGTGACAGTACATCAGTGATTAATTTAGCTATTATTATAATTATATTTATTTTCTTACAATATATATATCTATACTTTTTCTTTTCTATATCATATACTACATACATTCTCTCTCTCTCTTGGAATCATTCTTCATGCGTTTTTAAATTATTTTGATCATTAACCAACTCCGCTACTAGCAATTGGTGAATTAAT